GCACAAGCATATTAATTTTAATTAAAAATTAACTTTCAGAAAAAAAATTATATCCCCAGACGTTTGCCCGATGTCGGGTGGAATGACCCGTGTCTTAACACCATCTAAAGTCCATCATTAATTAATTCACACTTGCTCGAGCAAGCTATGTACCAAGTGTAAAATTAATCGTGTACGTCCTGTTAAGTATATGGCTCTAAGAAGAAGAAAAAATTAAGAGAGGAGAAAGGTATTTAGCAGAGAAGTTTGAGCGCCCCTGTGCCAGACGTTAAAGCGGCACTGGCGAGAGACATCTGCATCTCCGAAAGCAATCTCCCGACTTCCTTCCAGGGAGCTGCCTCCCCCCTCCCAAATTCTCCCGCCGCCGGAGGAAGTTTCTCTCATTGGGCTGCTTCGGAATCCCCAGTTGTTGATTTTCCATCATTTCCCATTCAAGTCCCGAGGAACTTATATTCGTGTTTAAAAAGATCCCTACGACGGAACTCCTGTTTCCCTGGGACATCCGGGGAGCGATGAATCTCTTCGATCCGTCTGAGTCGGAAGTCGAGTAGGAGTTAACAGCTGTCGACTGCGCCAGATACGGCTTTCATTTACTGCGGTTTAAAACTTGTGAAAAAATGTCATTAGAGCCGAGAGGAAGGGAAATCCTCGTTTGTTTCCTCAACGTATCGAACACATCTTATACTTATTTGATTCTACTGTTTGTATCTGCGTTCCATTTTAATTTAAACATCAAACTCAAATTTTATCACCATTTTATCACATCAACCATTTTAATTTAAACTCAAATTCTTAGAGGATGCATTTTATTAGAATATCACCTCCCGGAAGTATATAACTTGTGTAATTTTAAAGTAATGGTCGGCAAACGACGTAGGCAGTGCACTCACAAGACACAACCTGTCTAATACTGTTGCTAAGTTTGGAATCGCAATGAACTGGCATAATTTCTCTACGTTTCTAATAAATATATTCCCAGACATTTTGCTATCATGCTACTAATCACACGTTTATCAATTAATACGAACAATGCATATTGAATACTGCAATAACATAGAATAGTATTTATACAGTGCAACGGTTATTTACGTACTAACAAGAATATCAAAGTATTTTCCAAGTATGTTTTCCAACAGGTGAAAAAAATCCAAACAGCTGGTACGCACAGTATGAAAACTGGCGGAAAAATCTTAATCAAATATTTATGTATTGTAGAGAAAATCGAATTGACAATTCCCGAGTTCCTGGGCATGACATTAACCAATTGATATGTCATACGGTCATGGGCTGCTTAGTTTTCTCTGAATTTCTGCGCGCATACGAAATTAGTAATAGAGATAATAGTGATAGTAAAATTATATTTATATCAAGCGAGGTTCAGGTCATAAGCCTCGCACTTCCGCCTAACCACTTTAACGAATTTAAATTTACAAAATTACAATTGGAGCGTTCGGGCGAAAATATTAACTGGCATTTCTCGTTACAGAAGAAAATGCAATTTTATGCGACTGTCTACATGAAATAAGTTACACAGTTCATAACCAATTCGTGATATTTATTGCCATTTGATTTTCTATTCTTGAAATATCGTGGAGGCGAGAGAGATGGTGACGGGGCGGGAGAGAGGGAGAGGGGACAGGAGAACTAGGAAGAGGGGGCAGGAGAGACAGACAGAGAGAGAGAGAGAGAGAGAGAGAGAGAGAGAGAGAGAGAGAGACAGTCATGGCTGAAAAGAAGCAAATCGGTCCATGATGAATGTCTTTTTAGTTTTAAAATCAGTTATTCTAATCCAAAAGATCAGTTGCCAGCGTTTGCGCCTTAAAATGTTTAAGGTCATGGCGAGGTATCATTGGGAGAAGAAGAAAATTTGTCTGATTGTTTCATCATGGTGGTGAGTGAACATATTTTAATATGACCAACTATTATTTGCTGTATTCGTGCCTTCGACAGTACCCTCGGACCTTGCTCTCGCCTCTGCTGTCTTTCTCTCCCGTAAGCCAGCTTGTACAGAGTTTTCCATCCGCCGCGGATTCTCATGGCCAGCATTCGTCACACAAACCTACGCGTCCGCACTCTCGCCCGCCCACGCCCTTGCCCTCCCCAACGCCTTCTAATCTGTTGCTGCGTCGGTCCTCCGCCCATGTTCTTGGTGCTAGCCACCATGATGCCCCGACCAACTCCGGTCACCCACGCCTCGCCTCGCCTCTCCGCGCACGCCTACGCCATTCCTCTCAACTGGGACCCCGCCCACGCCCACGCCCACGCCCGCGCTACCAGCCCTGATTTCCCCGGGGTCGAAGGAAGATCTTCGGGTTGCTCTGGCAGCCTCGCTTCTACCCCCACTTTTTCCCCCTGTAACATTAGTATCTTGGGGACGAGGAGTTTCTCCCCGTTATTGCTGATTTTTCAGGCAAGTTTGCGTGTGCCGAAAGGAAGGTTGAATGTTTTATTCAAAAGAAAGCGTAATTTTGTGCGGCGCTGTGGGACAGCGTTTCATCTATCAGACGAATGAGAAACGATCGGCGCTTTCGTGATGGAGCTTTGGGAAAATAAACACGCCGATCTACATTACAAACTTCATTTACGCTCATCTAAAATACTGTGGTTTGCTCCAGAAAGAGAATATTACTCGGGTAAGGCCTTTTAGCACATTTTGTATAAGTATCATTCTCTCGTTCTATTCCAAGCTTCCACATCCACATAATTCTCCGAGTAAGATCAAGAAAGCAAGGCATTAAAGAAACATTTTAAAACCCTATTGTCTTGTGGAGTTAATAGAAAACAGTTCGTTAGTGGATGTATTTATTTTTCACGTAACATCCACATCCATTAAGAACCTGTCTCAAAACCCTTCAAGACTTAGAATTTTAATTATTTTCTTTATCTCATTGTTTCCGTTAATTTATTTGCCGACTGTTTATGTATAGTTATTAAAGCACGAGTAGTCCGAAGGGAAACTCTTTAGCAAAATAAGAAACGAAGGATCCAGGATGAATTGCGATGCATAGAGATAGGTTCGAAGGAAGGCGGGGGCGGGGGGTCTCCTGAAACATTTATCAGGAGGCTGTTAATGGATATATTACTGCCATTATGAAATGCAAAAGAGGATTATCGCCAGCAGAATCGAGTGTTTACCAGGAAATTGGTGCTGCTTTTGAGCTGCAAATTCATGACGTGTCTGCCTCTAAGTTCCTCTGGCCGGGAGTGAGCACGCTGGTTAATTCCCGGTGAGAGGGGATTGCCAAATCTTGCCCTCCCCATCACCCCTCTCCCCCCCCCCCGCCTAAGCAGTATTAATTGTTGTACTTCGCCGGACGCGAGAGGAGGATCGATTTTCCAATAGACAATCAGAGAGCTATAAGCGGTCGTACATTGAGGCCTATTGTGGCCAGATTATCGATTGTGTCGAGTGGATTGCGTGTTTGTGGCGTTTGCCAATTAATATGCCAGGTTGCCACGATGGTGGTTCTGGGTTGCCACGTAGAATGTGGTGGATGTGGCTAAAACTGTCCACATCCTCTGGCATTGCACAAGTGATCATGTTCTTTCTATTACAGTTGGAAATTACTTGTTCCACAACAGCACGTACTTTTCCACATTTAGTAACGGTTACGTAATATTCTAATACCGCAATTTTCGTCTTTATTAAAACATTTCAGTCATTTCTTGTAAAACTTATTACAAATCGTAGAACATTAGATGCGAAAAATTATTATTTTAACACTAATGTATCAACACAAATTCGACAATTAAAACTGCGTTTCATATCCCTACAACACCTCCCAACAATAAGAAGGAATCCTTAGAATTTCAAACTGCCGTGTTGCTGCGAGGAGGCTAAACTGTAGTTTTCCAGTTTGATATCTCATGAAAGAATATAAAAATGAAGCCCGGAAAATTCGAATTTGCAATTGTGAAGACTTGTATATTTTTACCCACTACTCATATTTTTTAAAGTGCTTAACTTTTTTAAAGATCCAATTTTTAGGATAAATTTAAGTTAACAAACATTTATTAATATTGTACTTTTGCGATGTTGACGTTTTTTTGCAATTTTCGGAATTAGAGTTCGCCGAAAATGGGACCAGCACCACTTTCTTTACCGTTCTTTGATACAAACGAGAAAAATATTTGAAGAAAAATGTCAAGCCATTTTTGAGAAAATATTTTTTAAGTTACCTATATTTCGTGCAAAATTACGCGAATACTACACCATTTCCAAAACTTGTGCAGGGTCTTATTTCAAGATCTGTGTTTAAATAACATACTTAATTACAAAAAATCTCTATCTGGTATATTGTAGTCGTGGAAAGATATCCAAAATAATTTTGAACTTTTACAATTTTTGAAAAATCCACTTTCAGATAGTAAGATATTTGTCTTTAGCTAGGACTTCTAAGTGATAGAATAAAGGAACAGATAGGTCACCTCAGTGTGAAACAGGTCTCCTAGGTGAGTCTAGATGAGGATACGACCATTTGCTACGAATGTTTCAATTCATAACATTGATGTTTGCGAGACAAAAATAACAATTTTTAATGTTTTTGAGGCTCCCTCGAATCCCTCGGTGCGTCGAACTTTAGATTTCTTCTACTGTTGCAAATGTTTTGTACGTATCTTGCCTACAATATGAGCCCACATCGTGATCTCCGAGCTCGACACAAAAATAAGTCAAATATATTCTGTTTATGAACTCAGAACACGTTTTCTATTTTCCTTGATAAAGAACTCGTCACGTGTAGCAAAAGACATCTGGACTATTAAAATACTGCTTTATTGATAGATACGTACACAGAAGTAATGAATAAGCGAATTGTATGTTACCTCGTACGTATCTGCGAGAACACTTAAGTTGGAAATTAGCGTGCATTAAATGTAATCGCATTCACTTCAGGAGTAATAAATTAACTCCAAAACAAAAAGCTGCTTACTGTAGCTCGTCGCGGGAACGCCTTTGAAAAATGATAAAATTTACAGGAGGTTTGCAGCCATTGGGTAAGTTATTGTGATTAAGGGATGCAAAGTTTTATTTCTAAATATATGACATGAGCACTAAAAATATGTGAAAGAAACAGTGCGCATTACTAAAAAGGCGCGGAGAATCCAAATTTTTCGGTTTATAATGAATAATAATGAATATATTGAATCAAAATGAACTGTGTTGGTAGGGAGAAAACGTGCACAGATTACATTTCTCACATCGTACATCACTTGTAGTTTAACAGATTTTCATCGTTAAATAAATAAAAATAAATAAGTAAAATAAATGAATCAAGAGGAAGCGAAGCAAGCGCAATGGTGACGCCAAGACTTGCTCTTGCGCTGCGATGGCCTACGCGAGAGTGCGCTCACGCCGTGCGGGGGCGCGTGGTGTGTTGCAGCGCTACGTGGTGAGCAGCGACCGCAAGGTGTACTCGTACGACCGCTTCATGCCGCTCATCTTCATCGGCGGCGTGCCCCGCTCCGGCACCACGCTCATGCGCGCCATGCTCGACGCGCACCCGGACGTCAGGTGAGCGCCCCCACCCCACCCCGCCCCCAAATATCCAAAATGAACCAACTAATTATCCATTCAATCAATCTATGCATGAATGAGCTGATCGATAAATGATTTATTAAATAAATTCATTAATAAGTGAATCAATAAACCATTATTTTTATTTATTTTATATTTTTTATTTATTTGTTTTTTTGTTTTTTTATTTATTTATTTGTTTTTTGTTTTTTTTATTTATTTATTTGTTTATTTTTATTTTTTATTTATTTATTTATTATTTTTATTTTATTTTTTTATTTTATTTATTTATTTATTTATTTATTTATTTATTTTTGCACATTTAAGATTGCTTATAATCATATTCATGTGGCTGGCAACTTTCGCTTTTCGTGCCTCTCACAATATGTTCACAAATTCAATACTGTTTTCATTCTTCTGGCAGTTTATTTCTAGTTTCCTATCCAAACATCCTCCCAAACATTTATTGCAAAGGAAGTATTACATGCCGACGTGCCAGCGTAAAAATGACTTGGGTCGAATAAAATGTGTTGATGAATATTCTCCCGTCTTGCTATTTAACCCAGCTGCGAATTATTTTCCCTTTACAATATTTAAAGTAAAGGCACCAAGACACAGACTACAAATAAATTTAAAATTAATAAGTTTTAAGATGTTAGGATAAAGATTTTCATTTTAAATTACTAGTAAACAAAGAATTTCTACTCGCAACGTCCGCCTAGAATTAGAACATGAATTTTACTTTAAACTGGTCGTGGACACAGCAAGAGTATTCTTTTGAATCCTTGAGCGTTACTTCATTTTGTAAACATCGATCTCTATTGTTGTGGTTTGGAAATAGCCTTGTGTATATTTTAATGTGTGGGTGTGTATGGATTTGTAGATGTGGTCAGGAGACTCGCGTGATTCCACGAATACTTCAAATGAGGTCACATTGGCTCAAATCTCAAAAGGAGAGTCTGAGGTTGGAAGAAGCTGGTCTCTCCAAAAAGGTGAATTACAACATTAAAAATAATTTCACACCCGCTATGTTAAATTCTTTAAATACAATATTATCATCTATATTATATATATATATATATATATATATATATATATATATATATAGTGTTTGCTAAGGAGATAATTCTGCCTGCAGGTCTTAGACTCAGCGATTGCAGCTTTCTGTCTGGAGATCATCGCACGCCACGGGGACCCCGCACCCCGACTGTGCAACAAAGACCCTCTCACCTTGAAATCTGCTGCGTACTTGGCAGAATTGTTTCCACAAGCTAAGTTCATCTTCATGCTAAGAGATGGGCGAGCTACTGTGCATTCTATCATATCACGAAAGGTAATGTGGTTGTAACTGGTGAAAACATTTAATAAATGACATTTTAAATATAAACGTATGTGATAACTAGAAAAAAATCGCAGGAATTGCATAAAATAAATTTGAATACCAGCATGTTAAACGACCTTTCTTGTTGCAAAAAATAGTCCATAATCGGTCATTTTACCTTACACAAATGACGTATTAGCATTTTATGGCACGTATGATTGCGTCATCACACATTCCGCGAGAGAATCGTGGGATGGTGGAGGTAATCGCAACGGCCGACCACCGTTTTCTCGCTCTTCATTCCCGAGACGTCGCAAGAAAGATTTTTTTCGCAAAATTAAGATTAGTTCTCTTGTAAATTTATAATGCTGTTATACAAAAAAGGAGTGTATGCAACTCAAAAGATGCTTTTTTTACTTTTGTACAAATTTGATAGCCCTCTCCTCACGACGTTCCTAAAATCCCCATCTCGATCAGGTTTTTGTTCAGTTTTCCTGACATATTGAACAAATCTAAGATAGCCCCTTGTTTTGCTTCTGGACGTAAATGTAGCTTCAAAATGCGCACGTTTTGTTGCTCTCTCCTTTTGCGTGTAATTGTAGGAGTAGAGGTAAGGACGAGTTACTATGCAAATAAGTTTTCTTTAACTCGGGAACGAAAATGTCTTGTTTTTGTTCAAATATGGCTAATCTCGCGTTTTTAAATTTTATTTTTATTTATCTTTAACTTTTAACTATTTATAGTTAATTAAAATGATGGGAAGGGATTCTGGAACTCAAGAAAACGTGCGCAGATGATCTTCTCTCTCATACATCATATACTGTTTTAACCTCAAACGGAGATTAAATATATTTTTTGACTAAATAAATCTAAATATCTTAAAAATACACGTGACAGAATGCGCAAAAGTTAATAAACCCATAGTTTTACTGAATAAAAATGTTTACTTCATGCTTTGCAGAGGACAATAGTTCCTTCATGTAACTGAAATGAACTGACTTCAGGTCCGCGAAGCTTAAATAAAAGATTGCTAGCTTTCAGTCGCCCCCTCCCAATTTACGCAGTTGAATGTTAAGTAAATTAGAATTTGTATGTTATTTCACATTTCATTTTATTATTAATTATATTTGTTATTTAAAATTTATTTACTATATTTATGTATTTCTACTCTTCACATCGATTTATAAGGTACGAGATTATCCATTCTAATGCGATACTAAAAATTCCATAAGAAGGTAATTTTGATAGCAAGATGTTATGGTCAATAACGACAAAAGCGTTCGAAAGATCTAAAAATATTCCAAGAGGTGGTTCATTTTGATCTATTGATTTTGATCTATTGATTACAACGTCTTAAGAAAAGAAAAAGGTGCAGTGTCCGTAGATTATGATTTTCTAAAATCGTGTTGCGAGTGTGAAAACGCTTCGTTTTTCCTGAGAAAAGTGTCCATTCGTGTATAGAAAACCCTCTCTATTATATTTGAGAAATCTGACAAAAGAGAAATCGGCCGGTAATTTTTAATTTATTTTTGTTCCCTTTTTTCAATAGTGTCTTAATTTTTGCTGTTTTGAAAAATCTGGAAATATTTTTGTTCATAAAGAAGCATTGAAAATGTGTGTACACACGTTTTTAATAAACAATACAGAAATTCATCAAAACCAGATGATTGTTTATTTTTTTAGTTTACTGACTACGGGTTTTTGTTAGAAATTTCGGAAATAATCATCGTGTCGATATTTTTTCGGGAAGGGAGTGATGTTGAATTTTGTGATTTTAGTTCCTTCGTGAGTTCAGCCGCAATTCAAGAAAAGTGTTGGTTGAAGAGATTTGCCACTTTCACCGAATTACTTGCTTCCCTTTCATTATCCTTTAAAACGACTTTCTCTACTAAGTACCGAGATGATGTGGTGTTTTATTTTACGATATTCCACGTTGCTTTAATTTTGTTACTAGCGTTCACAATATCCTGATTATTTTTCATTATTCTTTATTTTTATTATTATGAAAGGTTATGGAAGGTTCAAGATCTAAATGTAAAATAGGAGAGACTCGAAATGCATCCCCCGACTGCCTTAGTGTCCACGTTCTTGAGTTCACATGATAAATACACATACTGTGATTACAGGCTCGAAGCCCCTGCCTCACTCATCACACGAGAGATCAATGGTCCATCTGGAAACATTTCTAATTGATCCTTAATAACAATGGTTGTGGTTCTTTTACCCAAACCGCGCACACGCTCCTTATTGAATGTTCCCTTTTAATATTTTCTTATTGGTCGATTACTATTCTTGTAAATCACATTATTGGTCCATCGTAAGAATTTATCTCCACATCTTCCAATATAATTTATTAAATTAAATCTTGTTTTACTGTCTCTATCCGATCTTAAACTAGTTAATTTCGTCCCCAACGACGTTGCACGCTAAAGTTTTGTCGTATTTTTAGTGTGGACGTGCTGACATGACACTATAAAAAAAATAAATGAAAGATTTTTAACTGTGATGTAACATTATATCCGTTAATAGTGGTTTATGCAATTAGTTTATAATGTTATGCTTTATTGTATGAGTACATGTTTTGAAAAGGAGGGACGTTAGGAGCGAGTTTTCAAATTTGTACGAGCGCAATAAAGCAACATTATAAACGAGTTCCATACGCTATATTTTGTATAACAGCATGTATTTGTATTGCATCATAAATGTATACAAGAATCAAACTTAATTTTGCGAAACAGCTTTCTTGTGACTTGTCGGGTATTTGACATTTGTCCCAGAAAACTGTGGTCCGCTGATCCGTTTGCCGCTACCTCCCCACAATTCTTATTACGATTTGCGGAATGTGTGATGACGCAGTCATTCGTGCCGTAAAATGCTCTTTTGGCTTTTATGAACAATTTCTTGCAGCAGAAAAGGTGGTTTATAATGCTGGTATACAAAAATATGTTTTGTGTGTTTTTCATGGTAATAGAAATCATTTAAATTTGCATTTCTTTCTTGCAGGTTACTATAACAGGATTTGACCTAACAAGTTATCGACAGTGTCTAACAAAATGGAATTCAGCTATTCAAATAATGTACAACCAATGCAGGGAAGTGGGCTCAAGTCGTTGCTTGATGGTCCATTATGAGCAGCTAGTTTTGCATCCGCGGGAATGGATGCACAAAATTCTTGGTTTTCTTGAAGTGCCATGGAACGAAACAGTTCTGCATCACGAGGAACACATAAATAAACCAGGAGGCGTCTCTCTCTCCAAGTGAGTGTGGTGTGCTTTCTTCGTAATTATTTCGCAGAATCTTTCAGAAAAATTAAAAACAGAAATAATAGGCTATTTACTAACTACAAAACGACTTTTTTTAAATGTATTTTCGTTTTGTTATATTTATTATATTTCACATTACATTGATCACTTACGAACTAATCTGTATCTACTGTGTCTTCCATCCTAACTTAGATTGATGTAGTAAATACATTTCAGGTATTTTTAGGAACGCATTATAATCCAGGCGAATGGTATAAGGAGGGCAAGGAGTTTTTCTCTCTATCGTCCTTTGTTATTCGCATTCGAATTTCAGCTTTGCCAACTCGTAAATGTGCATTGTGAGAAGTCGTGTGCGCTAGAGGTCGCCGAAGTTAGATATGTAGCGAATGTGGCGGGTCTACTCAAAAAATGGTAAATGCGCTGGGGGAGGGGGGAATATAGGAGTGTTTTCTCTATCATTCCGTCTTGATCGTTTGTTTTCTTATGTAGAGAATCGATTTACTACTTTGCCACCTCCAAAATGTTGGACATATTCGAAAACTACCAAAAATGATTTTTTTATCAGTTTTCGGCTTATGACACGAAAAATTCGCTCTTTTAGAGAAACATGTTCTCATACAAAAATTATTTACACTATATTACATTTCCAAACGAGATATTTTTCCGCTAATGAACGGTTTAAACACTACAGAAAGTCCAAAATTTACAAAAATTTCACAATCTGTCAAACAATGGTTGAGTTATATTGTTATCCTTACATAAACATTATCAGAGAAATATAAAATCATTAATTTTGATACAAATTATATCGTTTAGGCTTTACACCTTCAGATGATCACTTTAGGCACTAGCCAGAGAAGTTACGTTTGTATCAGTCATCACAGCTAGGACAAGATCAAAATCCTCTCTCATATCTCAGTGATTTATATTTTCACAAAATATTGATTTCAAACGATTAATTTCATTAATATGTAATTAAATTAATTATCTACTTGCTATATAACTAAATAAATACCAATCAAATTAATCAACTTCATATTAAAGTTTTTTTATTTATTAATAGTTATTTTATAACATCTCGATCATCAATGACCTCTATCAGGATACAATTGTGTGGACAAACATAGTAGTTACAATTTAACCAAAATTATGTCAAGCATAAATCTTACATTTTTAGGATTGTTGATGCAATTAACTTTTTAATTAATTATTTAAAAATTAACCCTTGTTTGGGCTACTATGGTTCACTATACTCAACAGTAGGTCTATGCTAGGGATTTGTAATTTAATCACGCATAGTACTAGAATCATTTATTTTATACAATTAATCAGTACAAATTGTCTTTAACACTATTGTTAATGTTCATGAAATGTTATTGCAGTTTTTATATCAAGGCAAGCTATATTACCAAAAGAAGTTGTTTTACTTGTCATCGCACATTTTCTACCTGCATCAATTTATTAAAATAAAATTATAATATTGAGATACATTTGACTAAGTCATGACTAATGTTAATGTTCATGTTTATTTATAGGGTTGAACGCTCCTCAGATCAAGTAATCAAGCCAGTGTATTTAGATGCTCTCACCAAGTGGGTGGGTAACATCCCAGAAGATGTAGTGCGGGACATGGCAGAAATTGCTCCAATGTTGTCAGTGTTGGGTTATGACCCATATGCCAATCCCCCAGCATATGGGTCTCCAGACGCTTATGTGGCGGACAATACGAAGCGAATACGTGCCAATGGTCGTCTGTGGGAAGACAAAGCCAAAGCCTTATTGGAAGGGCATCTAGAAGACTCTGCCTCTGATATGCCTCCAGCAGCGTGATCAACCCATTGGCTCATTGATGACACTACTCCTTTGGGTCCAGTGGTAGTGAATTTGATAAGAAACAAAAATTCTCTGTAACAACATGATGACAGGGATGTTACTTACTTTTCCTACCACAACAGAAAGTCTAGTCTAGTTTTTAAGTTTTTTCCCTTTTTTCTAGCAACCTATCCTTGAATGCAGAAATGTTAAATAATACTTTGAAACACTGATACTTTGTTTCTGACTATTTGGAAATAATATTAATGAAATTTCTTGGTAAAATTCAAAACATGAAAAAAGACTTTGTTTTCTTATTATGTAATGTTCTTTACTATTACAGTTACAAGACAATACAATTACAATTAATATCAGTTCACTGTTCCTTATCATATAGCTTAATGCTTTGATAAAGTGAAAAATCCTTTTGTATACAACACTAAAAAGACAAATGTAGCATTGTCAGGAACATTGCGTACTTAATACTACCTACTGTTTTTGAAAAGGATGAAGATGATACAAGTACATTCCTCTTGTGAATGTTTCAATTTTATCATTCTACAATTCAACTTCTTATTGACCGAAATCCCTGCCTTGTACAGTGGCCAGTTTATAAAAGCAACTCTAATATGAAAAACACATGAATGTGAAAATACAAATCTTTCACTTTCACTGTGGTATTAAAATAATGCACTTCCCCTTTCCATGCTCAACCCAGCAATGTTTGCAGTCAGCAAGTGCCATGTCTGCTGTGAGACTTTCTTTTACATATAATATACAAGAGTGAAATAAATACACACAAGCACACTGATGCCAGCCAGTGGTAAAACAACATGCATGGAAAAATGTATTTGACTATGATATGTCTGTGAGCTTTGTGAGAAATTATGTAAAAAGCATATACAATGTTTGTAATGCATCATTTTAAAGTAATGATGTATATATATTTTGTTTAATAGAGATGTGGCATACTGAAATTTGTTTTTCTCATTACCCTTTATTACATTACAAAATCAACCAAAAATAATGTATCAAATGCTTAGACACAGGTTTCCTAGAATTCATAAATCATTATTACCATATTTCTCCAAGGTCATTATTGAACATTATTTGAATGCATAATATTTACCACTAATTTAACTACAACTACAATGCCATTGCAAATTAAATGAGACAATTAAACACACATTTAAATACAGTTAACCCGTGATTATCCATGGTAATTGGGACCAAAACTACCTACATTCAAAAAAAACTTGTAAAGTTCATTGTTTATTTGGTATAGGATTATGAATAAAAAGAAAAGGGTATATTAAACAATTTTGGTGAGGCACATTTTCACAAAATTATTAATATTAAATAAAAAGGAATTAATTTAATCTTTTGAAGAACAAAATTCTTTTCCAAAGTGTTCAATACTTTTCTAGAAAGCAACTTCATTCCCCTCCTGGACACAGCAATGTTATGCCTTGCTGTAGATTTTGTTGTTAGTTGTAATAGCAACAGCAGACTCCCTTTTCTTCTTAAACATTGCATTTCAACAAATTCCTTTCATTTGCAAATTCTTAGAGAAAAAATGTTTGCTTGATTCTAAAACCGAATATTTCCTTATAATAAATATTGTATATGGAGACTTTGCAAAAGAAACTTGCAGTATGGAATGTATATTTTATGTATTTCTGATGAAAGTTTTCAAACAAAAATTTCAAATTTTTACTACGAATCTTACATTAATGGCAACAGTTTGCTCTGCAGAGTGTAAGACATTTTATTTCTATGTGGAATTGTATACAACTTATTCTAAAGAGCACAGTCAATTCTGAATCACATGGAATATTACTTTCACAAGCAAATATATATTTTTGTGCTAACTGCTAATCTTGAGACAAAACGTGCTTCAAAACCTGGATATATAGTCTGGTTCAGATAACTGTATCCTGTATGAAATGACTTTCTATTATCAATACCTACTTCATTTCAAAGTGCTGAAAATACATTATTTGAAGGGAAATACAAAATACATAAAGTTGATGTGTGTGTGTTCGCTGAATATCATTGCTGTTACCTTCAAAGCACAATACAGTTTTGTAATTCTGCACAAATTATTCCAAACATATATCACACATTGATTGCATATTAATAGCAAAAAGAGTATTACCATAACTTTTTTTTTTCTTCTTCTTTTTCCAAAGTAAGAAAATTTTTTTTTTTAAATTAATGATACATTGTTATTGTCATTTGCCTCTCGAAATCTTTCTGTACCTGCCCTTACTTAGAACAATATGAATGGGGTCGCCACTTCCATATCAGTCAAATATTATTATAATACAATGTAATAAAAATATAATACGGATGTTGGTGTATCAGAGATCAATTAACTCTGACCAATCTTCATTAAAGTTGGCATGTGAAACTGTTTTTCTTTGAGAAGGTTTTTTTGCTGTTCACTTTGTTGTAACTCTTCACTAGATGGCCCATCAGTTAAATGTAATCCTATTCCCCCTGGGCTTCATTGAGCGTGATTGAGTAGATCAGAATGAGCGTGTAGTGTAGGACATGACGAAACTCATACTGAACGGAGAGGGGGTGATTATGGTACAAGAACACCATGTCATAGCAGCACTGAAAGATCAGGTTAATTCTGCTACTATTAACTATTCGTCTCTCATTATTTGTAAAATCAAAATGTTTACACATTATATGTGACACTGATATTACTACACATTTTTTATACTTGCAATTATTAAATGAATTGTAATGTTTTCTTCAAGTGCACTTGTGATCGTTCCTTGTCAGGTATTTCCACTATCCTTGCTGAATTATTTCTCATGTTGGTAAATTTGCAATTTTCTCCTTCTTAACATTACCCTCACTTTGAAGAATGTGATTGAACATGAATATTTATGAATTGAACAATAGTTATTTATGCACCAACGGAAATTATAAGGATTCCAATAATTAAGCAGTGCCATAGGCCTAAGAGACTTTGGCCCATGGGCTTTCACTCGAGATCATTAGAACCTGTTAACGCCCATGGTACATAAAAGCTTTGTTTTGTTGCCTAATAATGATTAAAGAATTGTTTTTATCAAGAGGTAACCATTTGGTTATCAATACTATAAAATAAAATCAGTAGTTTACTGATACACAAGTTTTGCATTTCTTGAGTCTTTTCCAAACGTTGCTAACCACACTTTGTTGGTAATTCTATTAATCATAGAACTATAGCCTATTGTAAAAGGTTCAGATAGAGATTTTGGAGCTCAAGTAAAGCAACTTCAGACAATACTTCCCGTATGTCACATAGTTTTTACCACTTTTTGATGAAAAATCAAACTTAATGAATGCCCAATGTACTTACTCTGGCCTGTAAAGAATACCAAAATGCATTCAGATTACACTATTCACATTCCTGTTTGTTTTTCTTTAAACAGTCACAGAACCATGGAGGGATATTCCCCCCAACCCCCCGAATTTTTCAGTAACTTTATTTTAACTTTTCAAACTTTCAAGCAAAACTATTTTCAGATAATCATTCAAACAAATAAAATAGTATTGCATGAGCCGAGTGTAGTTTGTGACATTTTACAAAACCTGAGGAATTGGTAAATACAAGCGAAAGAAACATCTCTTCTCAAGATGTAATCCTGGATTGAAGGGTCAAGAACAAATCACATCCAATTGTATCTTCATTGACACTATTTTAAATATGAATCTTTATTACATAATTATAAAAATAAATACATTTTGCTTCTGTCAAACTTCATTAAAACTTTTTTGTAGTCTTGTACATACAAACTCAACATTTACCCTCTACATTAAACTCCCTTTAAGAAATATATTTACTGGTACTATTTCACAAGTCATTTCATGCTCCAAATTGTCATACATTTTCCTGCTCAAAGATAAAAAATCCAAGGGAAGATACTGAGCATATAACAACGGAACCACTACAAGCTTCAAAGATAATTTCATCCAGCTTGTTTCCTAAAGAGAAATAGTCATTTTTTTCTCTGAAAAGTTAGTTTTAACTTTATGTTGGGCTATGTTCTTGTTGGTGAGTTATACAAAAATTATTTGTCCTTTATTTCTAATGTGCAATTCTCCTAAGGATATTTTGCACAGGATTTTTGTAAAACCAGTTCTCACAAAAATAATAAATATCACTGCTGCAATTAGGTGCATACACACATGCACACACATTCACACATGAACGATTGGTATGGACCGGCCACTTGAAGTTCATTCAGTTACAATTTAATTGTTCAAAATATTTTTTCTAAAAATAGTGATTATTTAAAATAAAAACCAAAGGCCACTTAAAATATGCCTTCATGTTTTGCACAAAATAAAATTGTGTTAAAATGCCCGTCATCTATCAATTATATTGATAATACTGGAGCAATGTTAGAATCTTGTTGATTCAAGAATTCACTTGTTTCTTCTTCTGATGGCAAACCTGGTACTGATCCTGAAAGTACAAATTAATAATCAAATTGATAAGCAATTCAAGGGTGCAAATAAAATTGCATTTTTCAGACATAGCTCACCCTCTGAATACTTGAATTTCAATCATTTATCAGTACTTACCTACATGTGTTCGCAAGAACCTGAAGATTAAGTAGTTATTTATTTTCATTGCTAGAGCAGAGTCTAATTTCTTAAAATTGAATAAATTAAGCCATGTTCCAATGACAAATGGAGAATCTGATTGATGCTCATGAGTGGTGCCTCTGCAATGAAATAAAATATCAAAGTTGTTATTTTTTAAAGAAGGCCCTTTAATATCCTTAGATATTTGTTGAATTGCATATACATAAGGAATAAAATACCACTTTGTTAACAATATGAGATAAGGGAATGATTCAATATTATATTGTCAACCACTGAAAAGTCTCAAAATGTTTCCTAGATGTTAGGAAATCTATACTTAATGAATGTGCTGGGTTCCATCCTGTCAAGAAATTGAAAATCAAATATTGACAAGACAATTTTAGTGTTTACAAACTGATCATGAATTGTAACTGGAGCATGCATTTCGAAGGTGACATGACCATTTGGAAACCTTCAGTTCTTCTGTTTTTACCTATATTTTTATTTCCAGGAAAAAACCTAAGATGTCTTATAATACTTTAAATAGTACTCTATACCTTGAGTTAATGATGTTGAAAAGTATTAAATGTGTGCTATATTTTTCCATTTTTATCGGTAAAGTGTGATGTGGACGTATCACGTTTTGAATGTTTGCTCCTCAACTGCATCCACGCCTTGTACACCCTCAAAGTATCACTAGCATACTTCCCAATTCTTGGAGGGGGGAAGTTTTATTAATACATACCTGATTGTGAAGGCAGATCTTTCTGTTTTATCCGCATTCCCTCCTTCCATAAACCTTTGCATTACTGCAACATTTGGTGGTATTTGGAAAGTCTGTGTATTTATAAACATCATAGGTGCTGTAATTTCAGATGGTAAGTCTGCATCCTCTTTTATGGGAAAAACCCAAGCATCCAAAATAATACCAGCTCTGAAGAATAAGAAAGAAATGTTATGCTTCTTTTGCTTTCAGAAGTGAAGGCCTTCTATATAATTAGATACTATAAGATTTTTTAATTCATTATTCATTTAATACAGTAAATAAAACGAGTATATATTTTATGGTTAATAATTGCAAAACAATTTTGAGAACAATACTTATGACATATTTTCCTATTATTGATTATTCCAGTTTTTCCAAATTTAGACATTCTTCTAGTACTATTGTACTACATGTTCTGTATCTCAGAGTGAAAAACAGTAAAGGTTTCTCTACAGAACACCCCAAATACCCTTCCACCAAAATCGGTGTCATACGCATAAATTTTACTAAGAAATAATAAAGGAGCACAGGGATGTAATTTCAAAATTCATTTTCTTCAACGTTAATAAAGAAAATTGGATATTTCAAGACAAAATGTCTTTTGCCAAAATTGATTTTACTCACTTAAATCGAGAATCATTTCCCATTGTTCTTACTGCAGTTCCTCCTCCAAAAGAATGGCCCATCATAACAAGTTTGGAAAAATCTAAACGACCCTAGGAAAAGAAAAACAAAATTATAATTCTTGAATGTTTATCAGTTTGAAATTTTGGTTAAATGTATCTTGTGGTTTACCTTGAACTGACTTAATTTGAATTGACAATTCATGAGATTTTCAATTTCGTTCCCAGCATCAAGAGCTTCTAACAAGTTTACAGCTCTTTGGCATTCTGAAGCTCTGTGTCGCACCTGCAATGAAGAAATTTAGTTCATCGATTTTCAGGCACATTTACTAGGAGACAAAATTTTCCTCTTAAAAAATGAGTATTAGTGGCAAAATTATTCCAGTTTTTGCATTGCAAGCATACAGTTTCTTGCAGGGAATTTCTCTTTAGCATAGGAGTTTTAGAAGTGGGATGTAGAAATGAGTTAATTTTGGGTTGAATTTAATTTCATTGTAATCTGTTTCTAGAGATTAAGAACTACACAGTAATTTAGTCCTTTTGTTGTTGAAACAGGTATGCAGTTTTTTAAATACAATGTTTTCTACTAATGAACCCATTAATGTACTCCGTACAGACAATCCTAAATCCATTTGCTATGTTCCAGAATAATTTACCTGTTTCTGTCTTCTAGAAAGATGATTCCATCCAACAGGAACTTTGTCAAATGAAATGGGAGTTCTCTTATCCAAGTGTCTGTCTTTAGCTGAAGCATAATAAAATGTACTACATGAAGAATGATCTCTAGAAAAACAAAGTAAACAAATTGTTATTTCTCTTAATTGTTATGGATTTTACAAGCACAACAATTTAAATATGTTAGTGTTAAACTTAAATAAAAATTGAAACAACATAACTAATTCAAAATGAATTCAGTGCTTTAACAATTAAGATTAAAATAATTAAAAAATGTCACTATTCATTGAATTTTGAATATATCACCTAGTAACAAAATTATTGTTGCCTAAGAAAAACTATTCTCAATTAGTTCAGAATGATTAGATGCAATGTAAGCTACCAAAAAAATGATATCATTTATAAAAATTTACTTTTGTAATAGATAAGAAAAATATGATAATAATAATAATAATAATAATAATAATAATAATAATAATAATAATAATATTTCATAGATTTTGTTCACTTCAACTAGTTGCATTGCTATATCAAAAAGGTGGGGTATAAATTTATGAGCTCTTTAACTCACTTGTTTTACCTCCCTGTCAGTTTTGTTTTCATTTAATGTGTTTCATCAGTTCTATTCTTCTAAACCAATTTATGTATTTCAAGTACAACTTGGAGAAGAGCATACTCATACAATTACCTATGTTCCACTGCAGCCACAACAAAACCTCTTGATGCTAATTCTAAGCATATGCAAGAATAAAAAAAACGTGTTGCTCCAAGGCCATGAGATAAAATTATTACAGGGAATTTTCCTCCATCTTCACGCAGGTCTGCATCCCAAACAACAGGAACTTTAACTTCACCTAAAACAATAATGAATCAAGTTTATTTGCACAAAGTATTTCAACAAACAATAATTGTATATCACATTAAATACTTTTACAGGAATTATTTCTGAGAATACATACCAGCAAATAATTTGTACATTGGTCGAAATAAAAAGGCCCAAGTGTTCAGCACATATGCAAAGGCATCTACATAAGACAAATCTGGCAACCAAGATATCCATTTTGAAGAATGACTCTGAAACAAGATTGCAAATTTCTCATTCCATCCTTCTCTTTTCTAATTAGTATTGATGAAAGTTTGAGTCATGAATAAAACATAAAATAAAATGGCATTACCTTTATATCTGATAGGGAAGTGGGATAAAACATACGAATAAAAGATCCATCAGGAGAATATTCTGTCATTAAATCAAAGCATCCAGGTACATATGGTCCTAAAAAAAACAACAGTAACTGGTAAATACCGATCAACGAGGAAACAAGTTATTTATTGTAAAGACCAAGACACACTATTCAAAATGTATCTTGAGAAATTTAACAAATAAAAAGGAAACTAAAATGTTTAAGGTAACTGCAACTGTTATTGCCCAGTTCCTTCATCAAGAATCGTCGAAGACTCATTACACACTTTCTCATTCTCTATATTCTTGCGGATGAAGAAACTACTAATCCACTTCTACGGAAAAAAATCTGAAGTGAAAGTCATCAAACCAATGCGCAAAGCTTGTTATGCAACGCGCGCCTGATAAAAAAGCGCGCAACGAAATGCACGCAAGTTACCTTCTGTGTAGGGCAGGTGCGCAGGTTCCTTCCCCATCGTGCTGACTGAGCGTCTCCTGATTTCGCTGACACAGCTGCGACAGAGAAATGTCTTTTGCCACAAACGTGAAAGTGGTATACTCTGGACTGGACGCTGTCCGGTTAAAGTTCAAGACGTACGAGCCGCACCGCGCTGCCGTGGTCCCTGTCGGCCAATCATACTGCCCGCAAACACATCGCGAACCTCTGACTACCATTCACAAGTCTCGATTGTCGAGGAACCGCTTACAGAACTGTCACATCACGCAACCTCGAAGAGAAGGGGAACACTCGTATCGGAAGGTGTTACGACGCTAACACCTCTGGTAGACGTTCTGAATACTAACTATATTGAGGCGGGAAACTTAAACGATGTTGGGTTCAAACAGGAAAGTGCTAACAAAAAAGTGTGTATATTTCAAAGGCTCGTAATTTTATTCAATAAGTAATTTTCTCAGTATATGGAAATATTTTGAATTATTGTAAAATTAAAAAAGTGTTTTAGAGGGGCAGCAAATCAATTTTTGAATTCAAGCACTATGAACCCATGAAGTTACTCTACCTAAACAATGTTACAAACCTTAATTCGGCATTGAACACTGACTAATTCTCCGTGTCGTAGCCATTTATCATGACATCCCTAGTGGCTAGGGACTCGGCGCCGTCAGAAGTGTCGTTTCTGTAGTGTCCTCCGGTCGATTCCTGATGTACGTAAGAGTATCCCAATGGAGCACGGACTACGCGCGATCCTTCATCCCCTATCTCATCGCTCACATCCTTCAGGCTGAAACTTAGACTGTTACCCTTACCCAGCATTGTCATATGTCCTATCTTCTTGATTGTTGCCCACCTCCTTGTGGAGGCCCTGCCACATGCGGATACCAAATAAGCGAACTGAGCTGGCTGCTTCCACTCACAACCGACTCTACAGGCTGACAAGTAGGTACTGACACTCAGGGCTTGAGTTCTGGCGGAACGCGATGGAACGGCGGTCCGGTACCTCGGAAATATATCATTAAATTATATTATGAATATATAACTATTTCTATTAAATTAATAATTAATTGGGGGTGCGTTCCGGTAACAAACATTATACAAATCAAGTACTGCTGATTCCTTATACACTACTTGCGCCCGCGTGCTTTAGGCCAGCTTTAAAGCCATGTATTTTAAGCAGGGGAAGTAATAAATCGCAAATTTAAGGGAGCAAAACAGAGAACTCTATCAAACGAATGAAACGAAAATAAACTTCTGAAAAGTTCTTAAACTTACTAAATAAATAGCCTATGTGTTTCCACAGGAGATTAAGGAGGGGAGTTGATTAGTACACATCCATTCATTGGTAATATACTGCACATCCTTTGCGTTTCCCGTAATTAATCGAATTTTTAAGAAACCACCGTGGCAGAGAAAACTAGAGGGGAAGGAAGGGAAGCGTAATGCAAGCAAACATCCAATGCTTAGCTGAAAAGTAGCATGGTCATTGGCGAAGCCAAATTACTGTAATCAGAACTAAATATTACAGAAATGCATAATAGTTGAGGAACTTGAAAATTATTATTGCTGTGTTTGCAAAGAAAGCAATGAAACATAGAGAACATAATATCTTGATACTGCGTTCTAGCCTCCAAGCTATACCAGAGTCGTCACAACTTGACGGAAAGCAGTAGTAAGTTGAAATGCAGAGACCGTGTTGCTGTCAAATAAAATAATAAACGCATTTCACATATCACTGTAATTTAGCACTTTCCTCTAGACTCGCACTACCTCTCACTATGTGTTGTTAAAGAGAAAGAAAATAATAACAATAATAATAATAGTAATAATAATAATAACAGTAATAATCCCAACATTCATCATCTTGGCTACGCCCACACCATAATTTAGTCGATTTTCCTTCAGTTAAATCCAAATTTGTCATTGTTGCAAATTTGCGTCAATATGTTTTATCTCATGACTACGGACGTCCAATTACCATTGATAAATGGTATTGGGAGCTATTTCGATGTTAGCATGTTTACTTTCCCACACAACTCCAGCCCTTTCATGCACGTTTGTAACTCCGGATATCGATCTTCCTTTCATAATTTTCTCAGAGAGTATATCGCAATGTGTTTCATTAATATTCAACATATTTTAAAGAAAATGAACGTTTTGAATGTTGATATTTATTTCTATCTTATATCTAAACCGATGTATAAAATATCTTACATTTAAACCGAAATATAAACTTTATAAACTCCAATATATATTAACTTTTAATATATACTTTATAAACTCCAATAATTATATCTATCGTTATAGATGTTTTGCACTTGCTTCGCAATGTTTCGCACACGGAAAACAAGTGTTCTCACACAGAAAACAAGAGCGGAAAACCGAGTTTCGCGCACGACGTCTCAAAAAATAAATAACTGGTGCCCTGCCACAGCAATAATACTGCTGAACAAAACCACACAAAATGATTTTCTAAATTGTCGCTCGCACATTGTTCAAGAATTATAAATAAAATACTCTCATATATCACTGCAAATATTTAACAAAATGGTCTTTGCAAATACTACAATTATTTAGTGTATATATCGTATAACCGTTCTCTACATAATCAGAATATGAACTAGAGGTGCGACAACTCTACATACTTTCATTCATTATTTTAAAATTTACAATTTTTGAAAATTCAGGGAGTTATTAGTAAACCGAAAAACTAAGATTTTTGTGTGTTTGTTTTTTTAACGCAAAAGCAAAAGTTTGTCTGTCCGACTCTACGTCCGTCCCTGTGGTCCACACTAGCTCCTAAACCGTTTAGCTGATTTTCTTCAAAATTGCTCTTCCGCGAACTATTTAAATGAACTCAAGGTCCTCTGAGTTTGAAACATATGTTTTGATATTGGTAAGATCTTTCATAAGAAGCCTCAACATTTTCAATTTTTTCTAAAAACTTCAATTTTTTTAAAAAAGCTTTGTCCTTGGGTAGGGTAAAGAACGCTTAAGGGAATAGAGGAGGTTTCATTTACTTTGAAACTCGTGATTTTTTGAAAATGTTCAGTTTTTCCGCAATGACAATATTGAAGAAAGATTTTTCCCTAAATGAAATTTGTTGTTGAAAAACAGACCTTGAAATATGTTCATGCACAATGTCTCAAAAATATGGTAACTTTTTGCGTAATTCTGCGTGAAATTGAGTGAATTTAGTAAAAGTTTTTTAAACTTTTTTTCGTAAAAACGAATCCAATTTTTACTTTTACGTATAAGTACGTATATACGGAGTAATTTATGTAGTATAGGGAAAGTTATGTAATACTGCAGAAAATCGATTTCGAGATTTCCAGAGAAATACACGTTTTTAGGTCCCCTGATACCAAAAAAGTGTTGTTTTTTTAATCGACCGCCCGTGAGTCTGTCCGACTGTCAGTCCGTCCGTCCGTCCGTTTGTTTGTCTTTCTGGTGTATGAGGACAACACTAGCGCCTAAACCATGCGTAGGATTTTTTCCAAGTTGAAGAAACCCCTGTCTACTTGGCTTCACTCAAAGCTCTGCGACTTTGAAAATTATTTATTAGTTTTTGAGGGCACTTTACATAAAGCCCCTGGGACATTTTCAAAATTTTCTTAAAAACTGCCCTAAATGTTTTCTTTGAATTTATAGAAACAGTAGAGTAAAAATCACGTATAAATGTGGCATAAGACCAATTTTCACGGTTAACTCAAATTTTCGAAAGTAAGAATTTTTTTCGGGGTCTTTGTACAAGAACAAAACTAAAGACGGATTTTTTCTTCAAATAAAATTTGTCTTCCTTATTTTGTTCTTTCAAGGTCATGTACATTTTTTGAAGATTTTAATAGTTTTTGCGCAATATCGCGTGCAATTCGTGCAATGTTAAAAAAAAAATTGAAAAAACTGAAAGATTTTCTCAAAAACCGCTTCAAGTTATTTCTTTTAACTTTTTGTAGGGATTGTGCTAAATGCACTCTATAAGATGACATAAACGCCAAATTGATTTTTCAAAAATTACGTATATGCGTAAGTGTTCGAGAAAGTAAAACAATGAAATTGTTTTAAATTTGACTGAAAAGTGGAAAAATTAATTTCGAGATTTCAACGACGTACACGTTTTGAAGTGTCTTGATATATTCTTCTCTTTCGTTTTTGCTCCTCGTTGATCCATCCAACAGTCTATGATCGACACTGGCCCCTAAATTATTAGCAGGATATTTTCCAAAATAAATATTCCTCGAACGATCTATCTCGACTTGAAACTCTGCTATTTTAGAAACAAAGCTTTAAATGTTGGGTATACTTCACATAAAACTTCAGAGATATTTCCCCGGATTAGGTAGCACAGGGTATCAATTGATGTCACCGCAGTGCCTCTGACCTCGAGCGTCTAGAGTTCGAATCACGACGGTGACAGAATTTTCGACACTAGCTAGATGGCTAGCCGCTGTCTGGGGAAGAAATCTACCTGTCGGCTGTGTTCAGTAGTTTTCTGTGGTATCCCTGGCGAACATCAGGCGAATGCCGTAGAAGTAACCTAACAAATGGTCACGGACCGCGCGCGATCTTCAAATTCGTCTTCCTTGTCCTATCCTCATTCCTTCCTTCCTTACTTACACACCCACACTCAATATACTACAACACATATCGGGAGACTAGACGGAAACTTAGCGCTTTTTCCGGCCGGAGAAGTGCTCCGTTAGTGGGTGATACCTGGTGGGGAAAACCTCGCTAGCCGACCTGTAGATCGATGCCGAATCTCACCATCCAACGGGGGACGATCACCGCCACCCCTAAGGGAAACACATGCACTCTACTTACTAACGACGTCAGCAGTTGACGCACCCGGAATTATTAAGCTATCACTCTACATCTACGAAAATGTGTATAGAACACCAGGTTTCTCTTTTCTACAATACTTTTAAAGTCATACGAGTATTTCAAATATAATATTTGGATGAGAAAAATTTAGAAAATGCCAAAAAATATGTTTTTGTGCCGATAGGTAGGAGTCCCTTACTTACATGTGCGAGTAAGTGTAAGTGTAAGTAAAGGGTGAGGATAGAACAAGGATGAGGAAGGAAATATCGCGTGCTGTTCTTGGCCCATTTGTTAGGGTAGTGCTCCGGCATTCGCCTGGTGTTGATAGGAGAAACTACCGATCTGAGCAGCCGGCCGCTAGAACTCTCCTCCAAGCAACGGCTGAACTCGACTCAGCTGACTAGCAAGTAACGAAACTCCTGCCACCGTTGGGACTCCAACCCTACTATCTCTCAGTCACAAGCACTGCGGTAACATCAATTGATGCCCTGAGCCATCTTTG